AGAAGATTCTAACGTCTTCTGTTCATTAGTTATGCCCATTCTTTTGGGCAGTGTCCATGGGTGTTTTTTTGCAAGGAATAGTCTTTTTTTTTGTCAAGACTACACATCATGTGTAGTTCCTGTCCACAATCACACATGGCATGCTGAGCAGATTCGTCTGAATTTTCATCAACATCGTCCCCTTGAAAAAGCTCCAAAGCCTCAGCTGTAGTAAACTTCCTTGCCATACCTCAGTTTACTTTCAAAACACAAAAAAAACGTATTCCAACTTTTATTTTGTTGTCGCGCGTGGAACCGGTTCTCGTTTCAGTACACAAAACAACGGAACTGACTCTGAATCAGACTCCGATTGGCTGTGACTGCATCCACTCAGAGGCCGTTTCTCAATGTCGAGTAAACCTGCTGCAGAGCCACTATTTCAAGTATACTACGTCATCGAGTGGCGCCGAAGGACTGTTTAAATGCATGTTAAATGCCCAGCATTCGGCGCCACTCGATGACGTAGTATACTTGAAATAGTGGCTCTGCAGCAGGTATACTCGACATTGAGAAACGGCCAGAATGTGTCCGATTCAGAAACGTGACTCTTACACTATTTAAGTCACAAACAAAGATGGTGGATGAGAATATACCTATAAAACAGACAGAAAAGGATAAGCAATGCGCCAGAATCAAGGTGAGACTATCCGCATCTTTTAAAACTTTACGCACATTCGTTTCACCGAAATAAGTAAACGCCTCTCAATGAAAAACGTAATAGAGTTGTTTATTGCCGTTTCTATAGTTTAAGAGGAAAAACACGGCATGTCTCTGGCTCAAACAGCTGAGAAGTTATGACGCTTTGAACACAACGTGATATTTGGGATTGTATACGGCCCCGTAGGTCTCAAGCAATTCTATAGCTCCCAATATATTTCACCAAAACTAACAGAAGTCAACGTCATTATGCCAAAAAGTCAGGGTATCACCAAAGTCAGTACTAATCCTCTTGTGTCAATGAATCTCTGTACCATATGTCATGAAAATCCAACAGTTGGTTTCAGTTTTGACAAAAGTGGTAGACCAACAGGCTGACATCATCAGCCCTATATAGACTATAACAATAATAACAATAACTGCAATAACTATAATAGAATGCTAATTTGTGTCCTGCAGCGTAAGATTTGCTCTGAGCTAACAAGGTAGCAATTTCATGCTTACCCATAAATATTTTTAATGTATTCTCTTTATTTTCTCTTGCACCCTTCCCTCCGCCTTTCTCCCAGTTTTATCTCCATCCATCCCTCCCCCAGCCTCTCTTTTGTTTTCCTACACGCCTCATTCTGAGTTCAAGTCATGTAATCTGAAGCTCCATAACCAACTGAAAGAAACAAATTATAATTGTACAGATTACATCAGTGGGAAAAGCTGTCGCTGGAAATGAAACTGAACAGCTGAGTTGCTTTCTTTGTATCGCATCAAAATGTCCTGTTTAGTTCTTAAGACCCACAGAGACGTTCGTTTTTGTCCAAATAATTCAAGGTGACAACAGATTCTGGTGGGGGAAACAAAAAACGATGTTGTATAATAGACCTGAATTGGACTGAATTATTGGATTTTTACAACAAAAGAAATGTGGGGATTAAATGAATTAAACATACAAACCACAATCATTAAAAACGAAACCAATTGATGCAATGTTCTCAGGCAAACCCTAATCTTGGCAGTGTCACCGTTTACTTAGCTTTCATTTACCCAGGCAATTAAGACTTTATTCTGATCTAAAATGAAAACCTAAAAGAGAAGGAATTTGAGTTATGATACAGAAAATACTGCTTTTACATCTGAAGATAGTCCTGCATCATTCCCCAGACTGTCTTTCTCAGTCTTAATAAAAAGTAGACAACATAATTGTTTCCTCTTCTTTAAGGCAACATTCCTTGTAGTATACAGAAACAATTCGACAGCAAAACAAACAAGGGGGTTTGTTTGGCTGTTGAATTGTTTCTGCTTGGCTGAATTTCTCTGCATTTCCAAGCGGAGTAATAAGCCATGGTAAAATAAAAGCGAATCATTCCAAATCTCGTCACGATCCAGAGGTATTACATAATCTGGAATTAAGGCAGATTTACGTATATGCACTAATCCAGCTTTTCACTCGCTTAAATGATCACACGGAGTCTGACGATAAAGACCAGGATTGCAGTCATTATGTTGGACACAATCACAATATACGTATGCCCGCAGACACCACAAACATGGTCATGCTTGAACCAGGATGTCATTTAAGGTGGACATTTTGGGTATTGAATTAAAAATGTATAATTAGAATCAAGAAACAGTATGCATTTGGCAAGGGTTAACAAAGCTTTTAACCAAACATATTAGCTAATTCACTTTGAGGCTGTGGTGACAACTCACTATAACGAGAACACTAAATTAGACAGAGGAAGAGGTTTATTTTCCTAAGTTACCAGCATTAAAGGACATTTTTCAGAAGAACAAGACCGAGAACATGCAGGCTTTCTTATATATCTATACCATTTTCTGTCTATCAATACTCCCTGTTTTCCCGACCCTGTCCGATAGTGAGCTGACCATTTTTGGAATTTACTAAAAATATTAAAGGGGCCCTATTGTGCTTGTTTAGGCTTGTTCCTTTCCTGTAGTGTGTTATATAGGTTTTTGTGCATGTAAATGGTCTGCAAAGGCTCAAATTAATCCAGAAGTTCCCTCAAGAGGGAGTTTTTCTCCCACACACTCCCCCCTGCCTGAAACACCTCCATTGGACTCCTTTGTTTACTTCTGTAACATAATGACATCGTTATGCAATACTCGCAGCTTTATTGGCTAGTGCTCCAAAACACTGTACGTGATAGGTTGAGGGGCAGGACATTTCTGAATCATCTTTAAGCAGTTGACCAATCACATCAGAGCCGGCCAACCAATCAGAGCAGACTGTGCTCTTGTTTCAGACAGAGATGAAAAGAGGTGCTCAGCACAGGAAGAATGAGAAAAATAAGACCTTTTTGAACATTAAAGCATGTAAACATGTCACAGTAGAGGCACGAAATATAATTATGAAACCTGAAAATGAGCAAAATAGGGACCCTTTAATTGACTCATTTTAATGGGACTTTTTGTTTGTACTTTTAACATAAATAGGGAGCATATAATGCATCAAATGATTAGACTAATAGTGCTTTTTTATAAAGAGGATAAGATGTTATTTACCGGCTCCTCGTCTCCTGTTATTTTGCAAAGGTAGCGGTCTATTTTCAGTGGTGGATGAATTCAGATGTGTGGCTCTATTGAATTTGGAAAGAACTGTGTGTGTGGAAGTGAAAATAATCCATATTGTTTGTGTTCATGGTAATAAAGAAACAGCCAAGAGAAACAGTGCGCCTAAAACAAGTTTTTGGCTTTGAAGCTCAATGGTAGGAAAATGGTAAAGAGTATCAGGCTTTGATACACACACAGTAGGATGCATGTAGAAGAAGAAGAAGATATACTTTATTAATCCCTCACATGGACATTTTCTTTTCTTTCTCCATGTATAGTTAGCATTGGTCTTTTCAAAGGATTTGTTGGCAATAAGAAAGTCATATCCTGTAAGTACTCCTACAGAAAACCAGCCTGACCAGTGTTGATTACAATCCAGTTTCAGCGTATCAAAAGGTTTTCCATTCCAACTCGTTCACGCTAGCTTCAGGGGCAGCCTGTGTGGCAGAGTGAAAGATTTCCTGTTTGTCTATTCAGGTAACAATCAGCCAGGGCAGCTTTCAGCCTGGGGGTTTAATAAATAGGATTGTTGTGAGTGTAAAGCAAGGCGTCGCAGGAAGAAACTCCCGGTCAAAGCTTTAACAGCTAAATGATATGGCAAATCAGACCAGTGTCCACAGCGTCATTACCATGCTGTGTGACTGAAGACATCAGATGCTTACTCTTATGGAGAAAGCCTGTCTGGAGTGTCAGAACTGTGCTAAAGGTCTCTTATGCAAGCGTGACATCCAGGCTGATGTGCTGGATTTTAAATGACAAACATTGACTTTATGCTTTTTTTGTGCTACATTCCTCTTATAGCTCCAACACAGAGCAGTGCAATGTTTCCCATTTGTGCCATCCCTGTCACAGTTCACTGTCTCGCTCATGGAAACCGGTTTAATAATTATATTTTTGACACCGAGAGAAATACACTTGTGAGATGTTCTTCCATATTGGCACTGATGACAAAAAATAAATACTTGTTATAGTCAAGATATTTACATTTGACTTTACTTCAATAATATCTTATTGCATATCTGCGTTCCCAGGTGAGGTCATAAAAAGCAGGGTTAGAAAGCAATGTAGGTGCTTGATAAATAGGGCAGATAAATACCTGTGACTACTGTAATCTATTGTCCCGGGGGCGAATGCTAGACAAAAGCCAAATGTTATTGGGTGTTAGTGGAAAAGGGAATTAACAGGAGTGAGGGATTCTTCACTAGGGCTGTTAAGACCTTTGCAACGTGTCAAAATTGGCAACTATCGGAATAGATTCCATTAGTACCAAGAGGCAACATACAGATTCCAGTGGAACACAGAATGTGGTTGAAAATGTCTCCGTTTATAGCAAGTGTATGAAACAGTGACAACAATCATCATCTTAAAGACTTAAAGGTCCCATGTCATGCTTTTCTGGTTATTACCCGTCCCCTTGTGTGTTATGTAGCTTTTCATGCATGTAAATGGTCTGCAAAGTCACAAACCCTCAAAGTACACCCTGTAGCGAGTAAAACTCTAACACAGAAAAGACCTGCAGCTCCGGGACGAGGCTGTGAGTTTGTGTGTGAGCACACACACAAACTCCCAGCCAGGCTGCGGGTGTGTGTGTGTACTCGGGCTGGTTTCGGGCCGGGCTTCGCTGGGCTCACAGGGGGGGGGGGGGGCAGGAGCTCCAACAAGCCGTTTAGGACAGAGTGAATACACATACTATACAGAGATGCTGTATGAGAAACCAATGTGAGTTTGGAAAATTGCACAATATAAATCTATTCTAGTAGACCTCAACAATGGAATTATGATCAGTAGAAATGGCCATGACATGGGACCTTTAAATGTTAAGGGCGTCTTCCGTAATTTGGTTGAAATAACTATTTCACTCCGTATTCCTCAGTGTCAAGGTTTATAGTTAGCTGCCTTAAATATAGCCGTTTCTGCATTACAAGTGCCATTATTTGGTTCTTCCTGAGTTTTAAAACTTTGGGTAAACCGCTGTAAGAAATCCTGGGTGCGAGTGCCTCCTACTTTTCGCCTTTGTTGCAAGTGTGATTTGGTGCCTCTGCTACTGTCTTATTGCTTCCACTTTTACAACCTCCGTCTCTGGCTAGGCTTGTGAGGAGCTCCAGGACTCTGATCTCGTGCTCCATGCGAGCTTTCTCCCTCCTCTCCTCCCTCTCGGCCGTCTCCCTCTGCGAGCGCTCCTCCCTCTGCAGCCACTGGGAGAGGAGCTCCTGATGCCAGCGGCCCTGCTCCTGCCGCTGGCCCTCCAGCTGCACCATCAGGCCCCGGGTCTGCGACACCAGCCGCTGGAAGCACTCCGACAGGTGCTTGAGGCCTGAGGACTCCGAGTGAAGGTGCCCACAGGTAGGGAGTGTGTTGGGGCTTGGATCTGAGGGTGTGGGGAGAGGAGAGGATTGGGTAACAGCAGCTGGAGGAGGAGGAGGAGGAGGAGGAGGAGCAGCTGGAGGTTGAGGTGGTACTACATGTGTGGAAGGACTGCTGTTTTCCACTAGTGCACCTACAGAGGATATAAAACAGTACAGGTATCTGATTATCGCTGATGACAGGAAATGATAACTCAATGAATCACCAGCAGAAAAAGAACCAATATTTTAAGCAAAAATGCTTATTTTGGCTTCCATCTACTATAATGTGACTTTGATTCACCTAATTTCATAATTAACTGAATATCAAAAATGTTCTCGACAGTTGATTCGAAGAAACCAGCAATAAAGATATTTACTGCAGTGTCTTTAATGTACCTATGTTGACATAATAATAATAATAATACATTACATTTATATAGCGCTGGTGCTCAAAGCGCTTTACAAGCAAGTAAAGAAGAAAAAAAAGAAAAGAAAAAATAGACAGAGTGAAGGGCTGATGAGGAATTTCTTTACTTTATGAACATAAAAAATAGCTGCACTCACAAAATGACACTTTAATTTTGTTGTCGTATTTGGTACCAAAATACACAAACATCTGACTGCAAGAAATTAAAAAGCACCAATAGTGGTGATGTCGTTTTTTATTTTTTTTAAATATCCTGGATTTATTCCTGCTATGTAGAGTTGCTGACCTTGCTTGAACAGTAATTTTTTTTAATACAAATTATTGAATGACAATACTTTTGTTGCTCATTTAATAAAAGACTACACTATAATATTTTAATAATAATTGAATGATTTAAATTTCAGGTTAGGTTATAAACTAGTTCTCTACATGTTTTTTCAGCAATGCGTACCTGTAACAAATAAATCCTGTGATTTCTTTTACTAGGTGAAATATACCCATGTGATCGCATGATACCTTCTGTTATTATTGCAGATTGCACGGGTCGGCCACCGTAGGTCAGGTTTGTAATTCATCATAAGTAGCAACATAATAAAACTATAGGACCATAATAAAATCCCAGATTCAAGATTACTTTATGTTAAATACGTGTTTTTTTATTTAACATGTAGCATTTGTTGAGTGTTATTTTAAGCCTCTTATGAATGACATAATAAGCACAGTACATACCGGTAATTTCACGATGGATGGATGATTCTGTGTAAACTTCATGACGTCGCTGAGGGAATCCTGAATTGCTGGTCTCAAACTCATCCGTTGAAACTTCTCTGTCCTCCAATTTGACTTCAGAGTCAAACTGCCAAGACTGACGGCCTGCTCTCTCTTCTAAAGAGCTCAAATTTTGTCTTACTGTCCTGCCCGGATAACCAAAATGGTTTTCTATGTTCAAATTCAAATCTTTTGGGATACTTCCTGTCCTTTCAAAGGAGTCAAGGTAACGCCCTGCCATGCGTCCTGGAGAAACAAAATATGGCCCTCCTTCCTCTGCCTCTGACCTCCGGCCCAACACAGCGTCCATCTCGGCAAAATATTTAAAAGTGCAAGGCTGCGAGCTGCTCCTTTGTAGTTTGGCTCTCACGTAGTTAGCCTTGAGAGTTTTGACACGGAGCCGGCACTGGTGTGGACTTCGAGAGAAACCCATTTCACTCATGCGGACAGAGAGGTGTTTGAAGACATGGCGGTTGCGAAGGTTTTCCGCCAAACTCTTCTGGATGCGCTCGTCGCTCCAGGCGCACAGCAGCACCTGAGTCTCCTCCACCGTCCAGTTTACTGAGCGCTCAGCTTCCCGTTTTCCTGTGTAAATAGAAACACAGCTGAAAACAGGGAATGACTTCACAATTGATCACTGGTGTTCTTGGGTTATGGTTCATAAACATTTAAACGTAATTAAATGCACATGAACAAGACGAACCCATGATTTGATTTGAGGAGAGGATCCCCATGTATTAAACACTCTCAGTGAGATGCCATACCATAACACCTCTCCAAAATGAATTGGTTTAAGCTAGATTTACCTACATATCAATTGCTGAACTTCAAGAGCGGCTGCATCCAACATGGAATACCTTCTATACATACAACAGTCATAAGGAAACATTATTTAAATTGTTATGAAATATGCTATACAATCGAGAAACAAAATATATTTATGTTTCCGAAACTGCATATTAGGGTCCACTGGTGTGAAAAGTACATTTTAATAATCATCCTAAACTTCAAATTCTGGACTTAATGATACTATTAGAAAGTCAGAAATAAAGGGATATCAGCTAAGGTAAAGATGGATGTTGGGTCACCATGAGATATGGCACATTAGCAGCGACGTTTACATAGTTAAATAGTTATTTAATATACATCCATAACAGTGTGCATGTATTTGAAAAGTATGGATTAAATGTACTAACAAACGTATCAAATGGCTTAAAATGATAGGAGCACACATTTAACTAAGCTGTCCTTAGAAAATATCACATCCTTAAAGGACGTATGCTTGCTAATGGCCAGATAGCAAGCTGTTAAAAGACACTGGGTGTTAATAAAGAAAGATACATGTCATCTAACAGTTAAGAAGTTGGGGGTTACCATTTAGGCTAATTCAGATACATACATAATGATAATACGATTTATACAAAAGGGTGTCATTGTACAAGCCTGTCAATTAGCAGAGAGTGTTTAGCAGCGGAATAACTGAGTGAAACCAGACCAGGAAGCTAGTTCTGCTCGCTGTAACAAACACAGCTAGGGTTAGCGGCTAACAGTTAGCAGACCTAGCTATATGAATTATTCTGACTCTCTGCTGCCTGTTAAACAACAAATAACAGATGTCGGTTAATAGAATGGTTCTTACGTTTGGTCGTTGAAACAAAGCTGGTCGAGTTTATCATCGGATGATTCATTTTAACGGGCTGTAGAAAATGTAAACAATCCTCTCAGGCACCGACAGTGCTCTCTTCCGGGTTGAGTCGAGTCCAGCCCGTCACGTGGTGTGACGTGGTCAGAGTCGTGTGATAATGTAAAAATAATTTACAGAAAATGCAGAAACAACACGAATAATGACAGTTATGACAGCTCCCACATAACACACATTTAGTAAAAACGTATAACATAACTTAATGTTGCCTTCAATGTTCCCAATATATTTAATTTTGTACAGATCCTATGAATATTCCCACTGTGATCATTACATATTTATGTTATTGAGGTAGAAGAAGGATACTATGATCTTTACACTATTAATCTCTTTTAGTATGCAGCATATCAATATTGTCATTTGTGTTGTACAATATTTAACAAGTGCACCATCATTTTTGTCAATATAATGTGTCACCAGTAGTTTTATTTAGCACAATAAAAATGATCAGGTATCAACTGAATACACATATTTATTAGATTGATTATGTTATATAATGCTAGAGGAAAATATAAGTGATACTTGTGGATGATAAAGAAATGTACATCTGTTTGATTATTTTTAAACAGTTCACGTACATATGAATATTATTTAATAGGAGTCAAAAGTCAAATTAGACATGGAAACAAATGCCATTATTAATAACGATGTAAGAACAAGGCTTAAATTGTTAAACAGAAATGTCCTACGCAGCAGCTGGATTATGGGAGTAAGGGTTAATATCCTATATGGTAAATATTGCTAAGTCTGTGTGTCAAGATTCTCACAGACAAACAGCGATGCCTGAATGAAGGCAGGCACCTCATTCATTTGAAGTAGCCCAAGGTGGCACATCGGGGCAAAAAAATGCAGAGCTGTAAAGCTAACCAACCTGGGATAGCTTCTGGCGCCACATACCACGTAATCCAGGATGCAACCCAATTCATAGGAGCAAACAAATACATCCTACTCTTTACCTTTTAATGATACATAGTATGAAAAACGTTTTCAGTGTATTGGTCCCTACTTTTAGTCTAAATGGCATTAAAGGTCTTTTCATAGAGAGGTGCAGAAACGCGTCCAAAAACTCGAAAATGTCTTAGCATTTTACCACTTCCGATTTCCTCGGCTAGAAGTCAACAGTTTTATGAACATGTTTGTAGTTAGAAACCTGAAATACATTCCATGGTTAAAGCAAGCTGAAGAGATTTTCATGTTTAGTTCTCCGTCAAAAAGAATTGAGTAATAACCCCATTTGTGAATGTCTGAAGCTTCTATGTGTCATAAAAACGACTGTTGCTAACAAGTGACTGAAAGAGACTACAAAACAGCAACACGCCAACATGACCTTTAGCTTAGCAGTGGTGATGGGCAGCCATGAGACCGTTATATAGTTTGTTTAAAGTCTAACGTTAGCTTTTGAATTCTGCCGTTTGCATTGCATTTACGTGATTTGTGATATGGACCTTGAGTCTGAAATAAAGATTGATTACACTTCAAAAATCACAGTGGTGTTAATATGTGGAAAAGATCCTGCTGAATAAAATGTATTAAGTATCATGAATGGACGTCTTTGTGATGCTAACTTCTGGGTCGTTGTACAAAAATACACCATCACTCTAAAGACCATGTTTCTTGTATAAAGTTATATCCAGATCGAGCTAGGGTTTCGTTGAGACTGATTTGGAATAGAATGGCTTTAGAATTGCTTTGTTACAAAAAGTATTGTACTCCCTTGGCCAGAACCTTTATAGAAAAAAATGAACACCACAAACCAAGAAACCTTGTGAATAAATGTAAAATTGGGAAAGACATATCCATATTTAAAGCTGTCCACACGCGATCAAGAGGCTTTTTAACAGCCAAGTGTGAACACGTCCTCCAGAGGCCGCACATTTGTTTAAACATTGAATAATAAGTGGGAAACATTAAGAGGAAACAGCTCCTAAAGAGGCTGTGAGGTGCTAATGGGTCGTCTTGTGCGTTCTCTGGATGTCTGCTGAGATCTCTGGTGTCCCTCCCTCTATTTCACCTCCCCAGTCTTTCATCCACAAAACAGAGCAATTAGCTTGGGGGAGTCCTAAAGTGCTGCTAATGCAAATTCAGTCTGCTTTCCTGCTGTGACATTTGCATTTTGAGCTCTGTCTTTGTTCTGTTATAGAGTGACTTGGGATGAGTTTAACTGTTATCTTGAAGAGAATGCCGGTGTCATTTCCAGTTAGAGACAATTCTCTTCTTTAGAAATATGATTTTGAAAAAACACACGTTTCAACAACCTTAATAAAGTTGTGGTGACATTTTCTACAACAGGCCTGAGAAAATCGGATTTTGTACTTCTAATGTTGGAAAAAGCTAAACGCTGTATATATATATAAGGGGATAAAGGTTTTTCTTCACAGCACAATGCCAAACACTGACTGCTCGCAGGCACACACACACAGTTACATGTATAAATGATTAGCCGGCCACAGCACAGGTAATTACAGAGGAAGAGGACAGACAGTCAACTGGACATCCGTGTCATTACTCACGCATGCCTCTGGGCTGCTGAGGAGCGTCACACACTCCTCTCTCACACAGAGGCTTCCAGGCACATGCACGTAACACACAAACAAAGGTAAATCCTAGAAGAATACTGTCCCTCTTTGAGCCTGACTGTACACTCACATGGATGTTTGATTGTTTTGTAAGGATGAGTGGGGATGCAATGTTATTTAATGACAACCTTTTTTTATCAACTTTGATTTTCTTTGATTCATATACGGTATTTGTCTTTTTTAAATATGTATATTATGTATGTATGTTGTATGTTTTATTATTTCATTTATTTATTTTTGAGCAAGTGCATTTTTGGTTTCATGTTGACATTTTGAATGCAATATAATTACTCAGTCAGTGAAAAAAAAGGCAAACAATAGTAAAGAATCAGCTAACATACCGATATTAATTATAGAGAAAAGATACACATTAATGCATAAAAAATAGAGACAAATGAGTACACATCCACAGCTAAAAATGTGTATTTTAAAAACGTGAATATGAATATAGTGAAAATGGTATGTGCACGTAACAGTGAATAATGCACAGTATATTTGCAAAAAAAAAAATATATTGCACATCGAAGGTTTAATACACAAGTTTGTAGCAGTCTGTATGATGCGGTGGTCTACCAAGAGCCGGTATTTGTAAAGTCGGATCGCTGCAGGAAGGAAGGTTCTACAAGTGCTACGAGTTTCAAACCTCTGATCTTTCTAGTATGATGTAAGCTCCATTATCAGTCTTTGCTCTCTTGGGCTTCAGGGGATGAACACGTTACAAAAGAGTATGTGAACAACGAGAAAAAGGAGCCAGACCATTAATATATGTCTTCAATAAATACGTATATAAGTACAGAGCCTGTGCTGTCCCCCTCTTCTGACGTGTCTTCCTCCCCGTCCTCAAAAGGGAGGGACAGGCTCTAGATCAGGATATTCAATTAGTTTGGACTGGGGGCTGGTTGATAAAAATGATCAAAAATAAGAGGCCAGGAAAAATGTGGCTTGAAATATGAGCTATCACGTTAATAGCTGCAGATACAGTAAAGTATTACAACAGCATAGTTATTGCATATATTGTTGTGAGTAAAAGCATGAAAGCAACATGCTGCATTGCATTGAAACAAGACACATAGACCTTAAGCATTTCTGCATTTATAAGGCATGTTCAGAATTAGTTTTAAGTGCAAACAACATTGCACACAATAAAACATGCTTGTGTGCATATGGTATTGAAGAAACACATCAGTATTTTATAAAGTGAAAATGTAAAAGTGCATCAGACACCTACAATTAATCCATAATTAGAATTTCAATCATTTAACTAAAGTAATTCAACCTAAGTGTACACAACAAAAATAAAGCATGCTTCATAACATTTCAGTGAAGATCAGCATTTTATCAATGGACATTTTTTCTATTTTGAAATTGCATCAGACCTGAATGATCATTCCATTCATGGATCATTTAACTAACACAAAACAGCACTTTAAAGACGTTTCCTTTGCTTAGCCATGTAATGTGGAAGGTGAGGTACAGACGGCTCACACACTGGAGAACATTTACATCAGCCCAGGCTGCAAGAGAACTGAAGTATCCCACTGTGGAAGCTCAGCATCCCCCAACCCCCCTTTTCATGTGTCCTGACAACCAGCAGCAGTGGCGTTGATTAGGTCAGTGGTGGTTAGCCAACTTTCACACCAGACCCCAAACAATGACTCAACATGGGGGCCGTGCAACAGTTTGTGGAATCTGTGGTTTTTTTCTTTTTTTGCTTGTGGCCTCCATACATTCAGAGTGATGTCAACCTTGTTGCAAAGTACTCATACTGACTTCATTTAGGCCCCGCTCACACGGGACCGTTTGCGTTTATGCACAGTATGCGTATTCAAAAAAGTCTTCCGTTCACATGCATTCGTTTCATTTAACGTGTCTGTTCAAACGAGGCCGCTGGAAACGCTGTAGTACATATGCCGGGACTGTAAGTGGCGCTGTAACTTCCGCCAAAATACACCAAAAGCCGCGAAGAAGAGCAGCCCGAGCAGCCCCGCCGCAATGTTGCCATGGCTACCCTTCTGTTTAAGCCCTGCGGTGTATTTAGCAACATGTAGTTCATGTAATTCTCCATGTCCACTTGTTGCTGATGGTTGTGGTAGAGGAGCTGTAGATTTTGCACTAATATCTGTAGCATGGTCAGTAGCAGTAGCACTAGCAGTAGCTACTGACAGGAGGAAGTGTGTGTGGCGACTGCTGGTATTCAGCGGGATATAGTCATTTCCTCAGCATATGGATAAATGCAACGGGGAAGTTAACTGAAAGAAACCGAATCTGTGGATATTGCATCGACCGACCAAGAAGCACGTCTCTGTGGAGAGGACGGCTCAGAAAGAGAGAGATATTCTCTACAAACACCGGGTGAGATCCTCCTTTGTCAATATAATGGATCAATGCATGAAATCTGACTCTGTTTATTTTGTTTAAGGAGTATATTGGGCGTTAACAATTCTGGTTTGCCTTTTATAATATTATTTCATTCAA